CCCCCCAACCCAAACGCCGGCACTGGCCTCCAGAAAAGTGGGGAGACGTGAGGTAGAGGCTCACCCGGCCTCCGCCTTGGGATACCCTTCCCTGCCGAGCGGGGGTCCCTCCGTGGCCCTGCGTGGCCCTGTGTGGCCTGCGCGTCTGTGATGCGTGGGCCGTGGATGGGCCGGCCTGTAGCTGGACTGAGTCTTGCTCCTTCCTCCAAGCCCCAGGCCTGATCCAGGGTGGGTGCTCAGAAAAGCATGGGTGAGTGGTGAGTGAAGGAGGGTCTCTCGGAAAGGAGTCAACTCGGCAGCCCCCTCGAGGGACATCGAATCTGTCCCGGCCCCCCGGAGGGCAAGGGCACAGGTTTGCTGGCCAGTACCCCTGCTGGTTAGCTCCTCCCTCCCTGCTTCCCAGCCTGGTGCTGACAGCCACAGAACCAGTTCCGCTCGTGGCCACAGGCAGCATCCCGAGCCTGCCCGCCCGCCCGAGGGATCCCTTCCTCTGCAGGACGCCCTCCCGCCCCTGGGACAGCTCCGTTCCCAGGCCTGTCTGCCTGTGCTGTTCCCGCTTTGCCGATTGGGCCTCTTCCCAGGCCTGGAATTTGAAGCTATAGCTGTGCTTTCTCACCTTAGAGTTTGAAGGGAGAACTCATCAGGCCCTTCCAAGCTTGAGAAACCTTGGTTTCCTTTATGTTGCCTCCAGTGGGGGACCTCGGGCACGTTTCCCAACCCCTTGGGGCCCCTGCATTCCCACCGTTACAGAAAGGATGATTCCACCTGCCCTCCTACCTTTTCCCACCTTTCAGAGGGAAAGGCTTCCCGATGTCGCGATTTTTGTTTCTTTAAAACACTCCTCTTTCTCAGAAGTTGCTGGAGGCCCTGCAGTGGAGGAGTAGGGTGTTCACACAAAATGCCAGGTTGCCCACGTACCCTTAGAAGGCCTGTCGGCAGCCCAACATTCTCCTTCCGGGTCAGTCCCCCCATTCCAGTGGGGTTCAGCTGATGACGTATTGCACACAGCCCCTGTGTGTCGGCTGAGACCCGTCTTTCTTTTTATTTTTTAATTTTTTTTTTT